AGGCAGAAGGATGGAAATTAAAGGCCTTGCGCATTAGTGAATTATTCAATGCGCGGTCGAGGAGACCTGGCACGGGTGCCCAGCCCTAATGAACGCCGCTGCGCTGCGTTGTTCCAGAGGCACTTAGGAACACCGGCCATCAAAACATCAATAAGTAATCCCTCTGCCACCTGCATTCTCCTCCTTGCAAAGGGGCTTGCTAGGAGGGGAAAGTGGAGCAGAAGCAATCTCAGCTCAGGGCACCCAAGAGAAAGAAAAGTGAGAAATCCAGAGGCTATCAAGAAGCACAGAGCTGCCAATGACTTCATTTACTAGCCACTGAGGCTGCCTTCCTTCTAGAGAAATCCTAAAAAGGAGGAAGAAGTGGGAAGAAGGATGTAGCAACACCTTTAAAACCAACTGGTTGCTATTTTAGCAGGAGCTTTCGTGGATATAAGCCCACTTCTGCATCTGAAGCAGTAGGCTAAAACCATGAAAGCTCATGCTAAAATTTCCAGGAAAGCTCATGCTAACATGTCCATGAAAGCTTAAGTTAAAATGTCCACGAAAGTTCATGCTGAAATAAACACCAGTTAGTCTTAAAGGTGCTGCTACTTTCCTTCTTTCCCCCATCCTCTCCTTTCCACCTTTTTATGCTGCAAGGGACTAACATGGCTACTCTTTTGTGCCTGACTTTCTTTCTTTCCTTCCTTGCTTGTTTTAGTCAGATGACTTGCAAAAAAAAAAACACCAACCTTGTCCACCTTCCTTTCCTTGAACTCAGGGCCTGGGCAAATTGTTGTGCTTCCACCTTAATTTTATTGGTTTTAATTAGATATTTAACTTCTATCCTGCCTTTCTCCTGAATGGGAGACCCAAGGCAGTCCTCCGCATCCATTAAAACAAGTAAACTGATTTGGTGACTTTGGACAAGCCACACTCTCTCAAGTCCTAGACTTGCAGTGATTCCCAAACTTTGGTCCTCCAGATCTTTTGGACTTCAGCTCCCAGGATTCCTGACAGTCCACCAAGCTGGCTGGGGCTTCTGGGAGCTGAAGTCCAGAACACTTGGAGCACCAAAAGTTTGGGAATCCCTGTCTTAGAGGAAGGCAATGGCAAACCCCTTCTGAATAAAATCTAGAGAGCCACCATGGCGTAGTGGTCTGAGTATTGGACTATCAAATCCCCACTCAGCCATAGAAACCCACTGGGAGATCTTGGACAAGTCACACTCTCTCAGCCTCAGAGGAAGACAACAGTGAACCTCCTCTGAGTAAATCTTATCAGGAAAACTCTTCAGCCTTTGAGAAGGGAGAAGGACAATGGCAAACCTCCTCTAAATAAATCTTAAGAACCAACATGGTGGAATGGTTTGAGTATTGGATGAAGACTGTGGGAGACCAGGGTTCAAATCCCTGCTCAGCCATGGCAACCCAGAGCAAGTCACATTCTCTCAGCCTCAGAGAAAGCACTCCCTCTGAATAAGTCTTGCCAAGATAGGGTCGCCTTAGGGTTGCCACAAGTCAGAAATGACTTAAAGCCATACAACAAAAACAATCCATGAATTAAAACCCAATGCTTTAAAAAGGAGAAGAGTGAACTCACACAATTCAATAAAGTAGCCTATTAAAACATCAGCTCTTTAAAAGAATCTAAAATCATTTCAAAACATAGCTACCTCTTTGGAAACGTGCAAAATCAGTCCCAAACAGTGAAGATTCTCAGCAGCCCAGGAATCTTTTTGTCAGCATCTCCCAACATGCAAGAAACATACTTTTTGACTTTTTTTCAACTATGATCAAATATTCCTTTCCATCCCTACTAGGCCTGAAAGTTAAAGGATTCTGGAATTCAGAAAGAATGAAAGAAAGAAAGAAAGAAAGAAAAGGGATGTTCCCAAACTCTGATCTCAAGCAGTTACTGGGATGGATTGCAGTAGCCTAATGCCAGGCAATTATTATTATTATTTTGGTTTCCCCCTAATATATCTTCCCCTGCAAAGGGAAGGCAAACCCACAGACTTGGCATTTCAATCTGCGGAGGAGAGTTCGATGGTAAATTAATGCAGCCGACCACAGAAGGAGGAAAAGCTACTGCAATCTGCAGCAATCTGGAATGGAAAGCAAAGTGGTGAACCTCACAGGAGAATAGGTGCATCTCACAAGGGGGTCCTCATTTTATTTGGAAAAACTTGGAGTATCTGCCAGAGGTTTTGGGCAACGCTGAGCTGCGGTGTTGGAAGGTCCCCCACATGGCTCTTCCTGAATTTGTCACCAAAGCAGCCGAGTCTGAAAATGTCACTTGTTTGCACTACAAGTCCCAGACACCTGGGTCTTGTAGTCCAAACAAGTAACTTTTCCAGGCTGTGAAATCCAGATTCTCATTTACAGTACTTCTAGGGATGACAGATGCTGAACTGAACTCAATAATATAGTTAGATATTAGATAGATAAGAAGAAAAATTGGGGCCAAAGCAAGATGGATGACAACTAGGGTCTCTTGAGGTAGCAGACAGAGGATATGCTGTATATAGAAGGGAGTTCTTCAGAAGAAGAGACAAAATGAAGAATGGGGTTTTGGCTGGAGTTTCTTGAACATGGCAGCTTTCATATTTAAACTAAGCAAGTTTCTAGTCCTGATGGTTATGAGGATACACCTGGAAGCACGGAGGTAAGGGGTGCAGGCATCTCAGGAGCCCATATTTTGTGCATTCTCCATAACTTTTCAAAAACAAAATCCAAAACAAAACAGCAGAATCAGCTACATAAAATAACTTTATACTTCAAAGCTCTTAAAGTGCATAATTTATACAGGTCACAGAAATGAACCCCTTATTTTGGCACAGATTATTTTTATTTCATTTTTTTGCAGAAATGCACAGCAGAGCTTTTAGCCCTTCTGAGCAAACCTTGCTTGTCCCTAGAAGAAACAAATGCAAGAAACAAAAGCAAGGCTGTGTTTTCTGGTCTGGGAGGTGTCTGGAGTTCCCTAGAGATAGTCCTGGGCTTCATTCATAAATTACTTTACTGGGAAGTAATTTAATTCATAAATTCCTATGCAAAGGGAAGAAGTTCACACCCTTGAATCTGGGATGCCTGGGGACCGCAGACTGATTTCGGATTTCAAAATCCCTCTGCAAGAAATCAAGTCCGACCCATGGCATCTCTCTCTGGCAAGAAGGCTCTTGCCACTAAAGAAACCAATGATAGGTTGGCCTTAGGGTTGCCATAAATCCGAAATGACTTGAAGGCACACAACAACAACCAAAGGGAGGGAGGAGACAGGGGAAAGAGAGAATTAGTGTTTTGATGAAAATGGGATTTGCTGGTCGTTGAAATATCTTCGGCTATGGGTGGCACGACTGTGGGCAACGGTCTCCAGATGCCATGCCCTCCCCTTGGCACCTGGCTGCCAGAAAGACTCATGTAACCCCCATGGTGAAAAATGACCGCTTTTAAAAATATTTGCCACTCCTTTTTCAGTGCCTCTTTTTGAACCTACAAACTGCCGCAGATCAATTTCATAACCGAGAATGGCTATTTCGTGATGGCTTCCTCCTCCCCTCCTTCTTTCTTTCTTTTTGGTCTTGGTCAAAAGCCAAAGAGTCGAAATCAATATGGCACCAACTTATCCATCAGGGTCTGTCTGTCATGGGTTTTCGGGAAGTTGGGCAGCTGCACTCTTTGCTGCTTTCAAATCCTTGTCTGCTTGGGGAGGGCTTGGACACTCCCCTGGTCTTCTTGATGAAACTTTAAAAAGGTTTTCCAAGGCCTGAGCTAATAAGAACAGGGAGTCCTCCAAGCCTGGAGCCCTCGATACGCCTGGGAATCAGGCTCCGCTTCCTGGCATCGCACCGAGGACAGAAATGTAATCTTTCAGGGCTTCCTGTAAACAGGGCCAGATTATGGTCCAATGGTCCCAGGCTCATCACAGGTTCAAGGCTTGGTCCTGAAGGAGGAAAGGGTTGCTTCTGGAACCTCCAGCTGTTCTAATTTGGCAGGTACAGAACTGATTGATCTTCTGCCTTCCCATTTTCTGGCCGGCTTTTAAAATGTCCCTGTTTCTCTCTCCTCCTCCCACTTTCTCCCTTTCTCCTCAGCATACAGTTGCTGCAAACTGAATTGAGAATGCAAAAGTGGTTTGCATTTCATCTAACTCACCAAGGCGGTCTAGAGGAAAGGAAGGAGTGGAATTGTGCATTTCTCAGTAAGTTCAAATAAAAGCAAACTGCTGCTGCCTCTTTTAGTTTGGATGTTCTTCACTTTAGATACTGCAAACTGAGTTCAAAGTTTGCATCTCATTTAACTCAGGAGTGCAGGGAGGAAAGGGAGGGCTGGAATCTTGCGCTTCTCAGTAGGCTCAGGCAAAAGCAAACTACTCCAGCTGCTCTTAGCTTGGGTGTTCTTCCCTTTAGTTGCTGCAAACTGAGTTCACAGTGCAAAAGTAGTTTGCATCTCATCTAATTCAGCTGTGCAGAGAGGAAAGGAAGGAATGGAATCACACCCTTCCCAGGAGGCACAGGCAAAAGCAAACTGATGCAACCTCTCTTAGTTTGCATGTTCCTTTGCTGTTTTGACTGCACATGGGACACTTGTTCCTCGGCCACCTGTGTCCCCGTTTTCAACTCCAAAATGTTTCATCTGTTGAAATGCCCTACAGTTCAAGAAGGATATTGAAAAACTGGAATACATCCAGAGAAGGATGACCAAGGGAACTGGATACGTTTAGCCTGGAGAAAAGAAGATTGAGAGGTGATATGATAGCCAGGATTCAATTCCCAACTCAGCCATGAAACCCACCGAGTAACCTTAGGCAAGTCACATGCTCTCAGCCTCAGGGGAAGGCAAAGGCAAACCTCCTCTGAACAAATCTTGACAAGGAAACACCATGATAAGACCCCCTTAGGGTCGCCATAAGTCAGAAAATGATTTGGAGGCACACGACGACAACAAAGGTGAACCTATCATGGGGTTTTCTGGGCTGAGAGAGTGTGATTGTCCAAGGTCACCCAGTGGGTTTCATGGCCAAGCTGGGAATCGAACCCTAGTCTCCAGAGTCGTAGTCCAACGGTCAAGCCACTACACCACCCGCATCTCCAGCAATGAAACCACTAAACCATGCCTGCTAGATAAGCAGATGTTTGTAGGGAAAATACGCTAGGCTTGTGTGCGAAGGCACTTTGCCAGCCTAATACCAGGATGGGAACAAAAGTTCCTCTGACCAAAGTCCAGGCCTTGATTCTCCAAGTTAGATCCCAAACAGGGAGCACAGATCAAAGGAAAGAGAAGGTCCATCTTGACCATGAAAGAAATTGGATGGAAGAGGTCACTGGGCAAAGGCTGCTCTCTGCTGGAGGAGAGAAGGAAAAGCAGCCATCTGTTTCGCCTTGGTTGTGGTTGTTGTGCACCTTCAAGTTGTTTCCAACTTATGGCAATCTTAAGGCAAACCTATCATGAGGTTTTCTTGGCAAGATTTGTTCAGAGGAGGTTTGCCATTACCTTTCCCTGAGGCTGAGATGATGTGACTCACCTAAGATCACTCAGTGGCTTTCATGGCCAAGCTGGGAATCGAACCCAGGTCTCCAAAGTTATAGTCAAACCACTATGCCAGGCTGGCTCTCTGATTCATATAGGTAGGGTTGTCAAAAACCCTAAGTCCCATCATCTCAACCAGTAAAATGGTCTTGAGTTACGGAGAGCTTTCTACCAGCCCAGACAGTACTAAATAGATAGTTGAAAGGGGATATAGTTGAAAACAAGTTGATATGGTCTAGAGTCTTTCATGCCCCATTTCTGGCAAACTGCCTCTGAACAAATCCTGCCAAGAAAACCCAATGATAGGGTCACTATTCTGTAGGATGGAGCCATGGCAGTGAAAGTGGGGTCAAACTGCCTTATCCCTACAGTGCAGAATGGAGCCAGCATGGCTGCTTGGTTTGAGCATTGGACTGCGACTCTGGAGACCAGGGTTTGAATCCTGGCTCGGCCATGAAACCCACTGGATGACCTTGGGCAAGTCACACTCTCTCGGCCTCAGGGAAAGGCAGCGGCAAACTTCCTCTGAACTAATCTTGCCAAGAAAACCCCATGATAGAGTCACCATGAGTTGAAAAGGACTTGAAGTCACACAACAACAACAACAACAACAACGGAATGGAAACCAGGGTTCCCTGGGTGACCTTGGGCAAGTCTCAGCCTCTTGGTTGTTGTTGTTGTTGTTGTGTGCCTTCAAGTCATTTCTGATTCATGACAACCCTACATTGGACCTGACAAACCCCTCTCTGAATAAATCTTGCCAAGACCACCCCATAAGCTTGCCATAAGCTGGAAACAACTTGAAGACACACAACAACAGAGAAACTTGGAACCGACATCTTGCCCACCTCAAACTCTTTCTCCCCGTCTACCTAAACCCAGCAAACCCTTGCTTTCTTGCTCTCTTGTCTTGGAGGAGAAGCCAAGATGGATCGGATGTTTCTTTGTAGTGAAAGCAGGTAGCTTCCAAGTCAGTGTGATCATGAGTCCATGCTGGGCTTTAGCTGAACTTTTTAAAGCAGCTGCTGTCCAAGGTACTGAAGCTATTTGGGAGGGACTACTAGTGGTTTGTAGTTGACCCCCCGCATTTGCAGATTTGACTTTTGCAGATTTGATTATTTGCAATTTCGATTAATACGTTCTCTCTAGGAATCTCCAATTCCTCCAGCGCAACTCTGCCAAAAGTTGGCCATAGAGTTGCGCAGGAGTACCTAGAAGTTCCTAGAGAAAACACCTCTCTAGGCATTTGTAGGCCCTCCATCATGATTCTATGATCAACCTGACACATGTGGACCATAAAGTTGTACTGGAGGACCTGGAGATTTCTAGAGAGGTGTTCTCTTCCATATTCACAGGGGTCCTTCATCCTTAATCCCAGCGAATGTGGAGGGACCACTGTAGTCGTATTTTATATTTTCTGTAAGGGACACCATTTCACCGTGGCATTATATTGAATGGGACTGAAGCATCCACAAATGTTGTTATCCACAGAGGGGCCTGGAACCAAACCCAGCGGCTACCAAGGACCCCACTATATGTTCATTCAGGTGAATGCTGGGTGTTCTTCTCCTCTTGCTACTACTGTGAGAATCCAGCAATTGTGAAGCTTTTTTAGAGCCCAGATTTGCCTCTTGCTCTAAACGCTGCGCTGGCCAGAGTTTGAAGACTGCTGATCACCCATTCAAGCTCCAGTCTCATCTCAAGGGAAGAACATTCTATCGCTTAATCGTTCCGCTTCCTCCGCCTCGCCACATTTCTCCTCGACTTAGCACAAATCAATTCTTTTTTTAAAAAAAACCCAAAAACCCAAAACCTGGAATGGACCGACAAAGAGAGCAAGAGAAAGAGGCATTTTTGTTTGCATAAACATCACCCAAGGAATTCACTGCCATCCCTCTCCGAGAAATCGTATCTCAACGTTCCAAGTCCAGGAACAAAACGGTGGACAAATGACCCTGGGATGGCTTTGAACAAAAGGGAGGCTATCCACAGGACACTAACAAGGAAAGAAATCAATGCCATTCAATGGGCTTGACCCTTTTGGGGTTAGTAGAGAGTTGGTTCAACTCCATAGGAGGCACATAGCCAGTCACTTGGAGGAGGAGCACAAGTCAAGAGAAGTGGCAAAAGACCTGGAAAGTTTAGAAGCAACTCATTAGAAACCATGGAGGGAGCTGGCCCTCTTCAGCCCAGCAAAGAAAAGACAGGATGGCCCTCATTTTAAATATCTCAAGGACTGTCAAAGAGAACAGGGTTCAGGTTTGTCCTCTGCTGCCCCAGAGGGGAGGACCGGCTCTAATGGTTTGAAGTTCCAGGAGGGCAGATTTCGATTAAACATTAGAAATAACTCCTTGGTGGTAAGTATGTAGAGAGAGCTAGTAGTGCCTTTGAGACTAGCTGAAATAAAAAAGTTGGCAGCATGAGCTCTCGTAAACCTCAGTCTACTTCCTCAGATACAAAAGCTCATGCTGCCAACTTCTTTCAGTGAGTCTCAAAGGCACTACTAGGTCTCTCTACATACTGATTCTACAGACTAACACGGCTATATCTTTGAATTCTTGATGGTAAGAGTAGTTTGGCAATGAAAACTATCAGCCTTCCATTAAAAAAAAAATGGTCTTTTTTTTTTTTTATCCACAGATTCAAGCATCCAGTTTGAAAATATTCAAAAAATATTTAACTTCCAAAAAGCAAATCTTGATTTTGCCATTCTATCCAAGGGACACCATTTTACTCGGCCATTGTATTCAATAGGACCTGAGAATCCATAGATTTTGGTGTCTATGGAGGGGACCAAACCTGTTCCTGGGACCAAACCTGAACAAATCTTGCCAAGAAATCCCCATAATAGCTTCACCTTAGAGTTGCCTTAAGTCAGAAACAACTCCAAGGCACACAATCACAACAGAATACAACAACTTTAGGGGACTGTGGAACTATAACTAATCATTCTGTTGTAAGGTTTGAGATGACAATGAGATGGATGGGAGGAGAACATGTCTTCTGTACAGGAAACCTCTTTTCCATACCGAAAATACCATTATTTTGTAAATCCAGAACTGTGACAAATGTCACCTGTCTAGCATTCACTTCATCAGGGTTTCTTGACACTCAAGAAACCTGTTTTTCAACCATTTTTCCAAGTATTTTCAAATGTTCTTTGTTTGTGTCTTTCTGCATGGCAGAGGGTTGGACATAATGGCTCTTGAGTCTCTTCCAACTTTAAGATTCTTTGGTTCTTTCCATCCTTGGTCTATGCTACCAACCTTGCACTATTTTTATAGGGTTTCCTATCATTTTAGCTATAATGCCCTAGTTTGACCCTGAGAAATTGGGAGATCGGTGAAAGAGTATTTAGCATTCTCTGTTTACGATCTTCCATCCTTTTCCCTCGCAAACTACAGTTCCCAGCATTCCCTGGGGAAAGGGAATGACTGCTAAAGTTATTTCAGTCCAGGATGGACACATAGTCCAAGAGCATTACATAAGATTTTTCTGTAAGAGTTGCAAGCGGACGAATGGACGCAGGGAGGGAAACGGAGATGTGCAATTATCATTAAGAGTTCCTTCTCAAGATCAGAATTGGAAATGAATCGGGAGGGCCTTCGTGAGACAAAACAGCTGCAGGAACTGGATGGAATTTCAGTAATATCTCCAGCCTCTAAGGGGCAGATTGTAAAGTTTCCAGATCACCAGCAACTCCATTCCCTGAGGTTTCAGGGGCCAAAATCTGAGATTGGGGTCCAGGTCCTTGCATTGTCACAGGGGCAAGGGATGCAAAGATTGAGGCAGTTGGGTTTGGGGAAAAAAATGGTTGTAGAAACAGGTACAAAGGGGAATCTAGGTAAAATCTGGCTACCCAAGTAATAAGACAACCCACAGCCACACGGGAAAAAAACCTATTTGTTGGCAGCTGTGCAAGCAGTAAAATGCATTCGGCAACTACAGAAATCACCCATAATCTTGCTCCTTGTATTCCCAGTGAGTTGCAAAACCATCTTTTCTGATTCTGCTGTAACCTGTGGAAGGTTCACACACTGCCGGCTTGTCTTTTCCTTAGGTTTCTGCAACACCAAGGCTCATCATGAACTGCATTGTTGGCACCCAACCATCCTCGTTTTTGTTGTTGATATTTGCCAACAAGCTGACTTCAATTTATGGTGACCCTATGAATGAGAAACCTCCAAGATCGCCTGTCAACATCAACCCTGCTCAGGTCTTGCAAATTCTGGGCCATGTGCTCCTTGATTCAATCCATCCACTTGTAATGCTGTTCAAGTATGAGCCATGTATGTGTAGTATAAGACTGTACATTACTTGAGTTTATACAGTAATACCTCATGCCACCCTGTTTTGGAATGAAACAGTAAGTTGGCAACAGTTTGACATTAAAAGGGGTCCGTCCCACCCCAGAATAACAGGTCTCTATGGGAGAGAGAAAAAATCATTTTTGCATCCAGTTCACAGCCTTCTTGAAATCTCCTCCGTGGATCTGCAAATCAAGCTGGCACATCTACAGCTGGTTTTCATGTGTTTTGGGTGGTTTTCAGGTCCCAC